TGTTAATGCCACAAAATAAATGAAAGCTTTACTGAAAAAGAAAAGAAATTTTATATCGTAAAAAATAGAACCTTTTCCTAGAGAAATATAGTGAAATAAGATTTACCAAAAAATGTTTGAAAGCGAAGAAGGGATTATTAGAGGTCAAGAATGAATGGTAGCGATACCAATAAAAATAATCTAATATAATTTTAAATGAATCGTTCGGGCCTCGGCCCCGGCCTGATGCGATCGGATGTCTAGCCACACTGATGAGTTGTGATACAGAGAAACAAACTGTGAAGGACGATATAAGCTCTTGATAAAATAATTTAATCAGTCATGCGCTGTGGGGGAGAACGAATTTGTAAACATTCACTATTACTGCTGATAATGCAAGACTCTCCTAGCGATTGAGTTCTCTGAGTGACTAGTGTGTTTATGAAAAAATAAATATGCAAACATTCGCATTCATATATATATATATATATATATATATATATATATATATATATATATACACACACACATACACACATACATACAGGTGTACGCATATATATATATATATAAATATATAGTTAGTTTATGCAAATTTAGGTAATCCGTATGGGTAGACCTGAGGAGGATGATATCCAGAGAGCTCAATGTAAAATTCAGAGCAGATATGTTTGAATAAAAGACAGACCACATTAAGATTCCATGTAATAAGCTATTTCACCATAACCCCTTTAACAGGGTTCTGGATCATCAGACTTTACTTCCAAAAGCTGAAATGAAGAATGAAAAGAAATTCACACGTTTTTGACGGACCTCATCAAGTATACGCAAAGTTAACGAAGTGAGGAAGTGAGGTGGGAGTATATATATATTCGTACATCTGTATGTATGTGGGTCTATGTGTATTAGAGTGTCATCCCAAACAAATACAGAAGAAAATTTCCCCTCACACAACCAGACGTAGTGAAAACACAAACAATAATAAATTCAATTTAAAAAAAAAAAAAATGTGTTTGATGATCGCAAAAAGCGTAGACCCTGGGTCACAAACTCATAACTATACGACGGAAAATGTTAGCTCTATCACTGTGATACTGAGTACTTTCCACTAAGACTGCGCAGATTAATTAATTATACGCAATAAAATCCAAAATCAACCACATATGGGAAATAACCTTATTTCGACCGAGGAAAATATAATTCGTCAGTCTTATTCAACCCCGGTGCAGATTGAGTTCTTTTCGGAAATAAAAATTTAACTTTGAAAGCTATAAAAAAAACGTCGAAAAGCTAATGTTGAATTAATCCACTTCAATGTTTCAGTCAGACGAAAAGGACGAGGTGAGTGGTTAGAGGAGGGTTGAAGGTATTTGCGTTAACGGGAAGAGGTCTTAAAGGATTATACCCGGATATTAACCTTATAACATTAAATTGTGTTTATATGAAGAATTAAATGTTAATTTAAAAGTAAGAGAAAAATAAAATAAGAGTTAAAAACCTTGAAAAATATATAAAGCTATATTTAAAAACAAAAACTCTATTCCAAAACAAGTTATATTTAAAAAACAAGATATAATTGAAGTTATATTAAAAAATAATTCATATTTAAATAATTTATATTAAAAAATAAGTAAAGTTATATTTAAAAATCAATTATATTTAATAAAAATGAATAGGTTATATTTAAAAATAAAAAAAAAATATTAATTTTTTTTAAAATATAAGATAACATAAATTATATATTTAAAAATAAAAATATTTTAAAAAATTAATATATAAGATAACACAAATTATATATTTAAAAATAAAAATATAAAGAAACTAGCAGCATGGCCCGGCCTTGCCCGTGCTTGATCCAAAAATCGTATGACTCATACAGCAATCGCTATCACTTGACTGAAATTATTTTTGCCCTTCCTTGCCTTTAAAGGAGTGCACTTTGCCATGCTGATGTTGTTACATGCCTTACTTCTTGCCTATCTCACATTGCGATTTTTTTCTAAGCTCTATACTAAACATTAAATCTGTTACGAAAAAAGAACTAAACAAAATGAACACAAAACGATCAATGAAAAAAAAAAAAAGGACTCGTAACTGCAAAAACCGAATGAAAAATGAATGTTAACAACAAATACTTTTCACATCCAACCCAGTTCTGCGGAATCAGAATCAACGTTGAGTTTAAGCAAGCAAATGAGCCAATTGGAGTAAAGTACCATGCAGATTTAAATTTTTCCCACTTGTGACGAATGCAGCTATCGATTTTTTTTTGTATGCTAGCATGCTAGTTAATATTCGTGTCAGTCAGCTGTTGGCTCTCAAAAACTTAAATTAACTTTATTAATACCAGCACTTGATGTACGATATCTATATATATATATATATATATATATATATATATATGTGTGTGTGTGTGTGTGTGTGTGTGTTTGTGTGTGTGTGTGTACAGGCCCAGTAGATATAAATGTCAACGTTGCATGGTGACTGTCATTTATATGTCGGAGGCTATGATGAAACCCTCTGATGATCAAGTAAGGCTTGAAACTGAAAGTGGTGGTTTTATGCGAACACTTATATATATATATATATTAACTAAATATATAATGTTTATATTGTTTAAAATAATCGGTAAAACTGCTAAGAATTCAGAATAGATTGTTTTAATATATATATATATATATATATATATATATGCGATTTACATATGTTCGAACGGGATACCTTATATATATATATATATATATATATATATATGTTTAAACATATATTTTTAGATGTAACAGACAATGAATGTCTATTATATTTGATCATGAGACGTTCTAAACTCTGAATATTTGCTTCAATTTCCTTGTGAAAATAAAGAGAAAATTGTCCAACATATGTATATTTTCTATTAAGCTGTTCATTGATCTAAGCTTTCGGCTCATATATATATATATATATATATATATATATATATATATATATATATATATATATATATATATGTGTGTGTGTGTGTGTGTGTGTGTGTGTGTGTGTATGTTTGTGTATATATATATATATATATATTAATTTGAAATTTAATGATTATGTTATTTAAAATCTTCTCTTTATACATAAGTTTCATTAAAGACGTCTGATAGCGTACTTCGGTTTAGCCTTTAATTAATTTTTTCTTGCATTCGTACAAGTGTTTTCTTTTCTTGGCATAAATTGCGTAAAACTGTTCTTTATATTCAAGGAACTCTAGTTATGTTATTAGCAATTACTAACAAATATGTTTGCTTCATATATTTACTTATGCTTTTAAATAGATCCCAATTGAGCTACAGTCTGTTAGATGTAACGTGAGTCTTCTTGACAAGAATGTCGTGGTATGTCCAATATAATTATTCATGAATTTCGTTTGATCAGCAATTTGTTTTTCTTAATCGATTTCACTCCAATCAAGGAAGGAAAGCCACTAAGACGCAAGGAGTTACTGGGTGCTAAATAATTAGAAACTGAAACATTACTAATGAGCGGGAAGAACAAAGAGTAATGAGGAGAAACATAGTTAGGGACTGACATTGTGTTTCAAATTCTTCAGATGAAAATTGGCTGGAATGTATGGAACTGAAAGGGAATTCCACAAGCAGGTAGTGCGAGTGAAGTAATTGTTAGATTAGAATTTTCGGCTATATTTAGCCAGCTCAACAGGAAATTGACGAGATCCCGACGCCAGCCTAGTACTGAGCTGAAATTTAAGACGTAGCGAAACGAAGAGCTCACCTGAACAGTCACCATGAAAGTATTTAGAGAAAAGACACAGATAGGAAGCCTTAAGGCGGTGGGAAAGTGAGTAAAGCCGAGCTGCCAGATCAGGACCAATAGTATTGCGGATTCTTCTTTGTATTTTATCAAGGACCTAATTGTAAATAGCAGGGTACCGGACTATATGTAGCTATGTAGCAGGAATATAACACCTACATACATACATATATATATATATATATATATATATATATATATATATATATATATATATATATATATTCATTGAATACGACAGACAAGGTGCTTTTATTTAGATTTTTATACAATTTCTCATGCGATCTAATAATTTTTTTTTCATTTCGGATGATAAATAATATAAAAACTGTCTGTATGTTCTTTTTATCCGAGCGCTTTCGGCTTTACATTTAGCCATTTTCAAGGATTAAATATTTTAACTGTTATATAAGAAATAGTTTGTTGTATGTATGTTTTATAAAATGTTTTCATTTTTTCAAAACACGGTCAATATATTGTGTCCATGTCCAAAGTTAATATATATATATATATATATATATATATATATATATAATACAAGTTATATATATATATATATATATATATATATATATATATATATATATATATATATATATATATATAGCTGAGTGGTTAGGACATTCGCTTTCTGACCATGAGAACTGGGATCAAATCTCACCATGGAGACATGCTGATGTTATCTGTCTGGAGAGGAACGTCACCTTTGGAAAGTGCGTGAAGACCATACCATATATACGAAAATCATAAGTCATAGTGACCGAGGGTTTGTGCTGGCTTTGTTCAGATTGTTGATCACGCTAGATAACACGATCTCACCCAGAAACTGTAACTAAGGTCTGCTCAGAATAGTTGCAGTATAAACCACAGGTTGGCTCTGGGGGTGTTGAACAAAACACAAATGTGCCTGAGCGAGCGTCTGCAATAAGGATTGCATAGCCGGTTGTCCTCGAATATGAGTGGCAAGCTATTATTATGTAGGTATGTGTGTGTGTGTGTGCGCGCGCGCGTTTTTGGGAGTGTATGTATAAAACTGTGTGCGTCCATGTAATTACCTTGCCTTTTGGGTCTATGGGTCTATAAGAACCCGTTATAATCCACATTACCAAACCGACGTGTATTTAATCAATACCTAATCTCATCTTATTTTCTGTCCAGTAAATCAACGAGCAACGATTTTCCTCAAATGTACTTGTATTCACGATGGTGGCTGACGCCGATCAGATTACTTTGGTGTGACGGCGAAGGCGACATTACTTTCGTCAACTAGCACGGAAAATGAGCCGCGTGCGCGCAACGGTAAGAGGGAAAGGAGAGGGCGTTGACCGGCGTCAAGGTCGGGGTTAATACCGACAAGGATTTCCATTGAACGACAAACGCGTCTGCTGATCGATAGCAGGCAGGAATGATCAATCGATTTTAGCGAATGGAAATAAGAAAGTAACGAATGAATGGAGGGAGGTGACGAGTGTGGAATACCAGTGAGTAGCTCAAGGGAGCAAGCGTTTTATATGAAACCAAGTAATTGTAACTAGTATGCCAAAAAGTACTGACAAAACTAACCTGGCAGTTTGTCTCGAAAAGGACCTTCAATCAGTTGTGGACTGGGGCAAAAATTGGCTAGTTTAATGCCTCAAAAACATAACTACTCTGTATTACTCACCACAGAGAACCATCCCTGCCACCCATTAAACTGTGTGACGCTCAACTCCACGAGAACACCTCTTTGCGACTGCTCGGTCTCAAATTGACTGCTGACCTGAGATGGGACAAATACATTGAGTTAATTGCTTCGTCCACCGCAAGGAAAGTTGGCTCCCTGTGCCACACCAGGAAATTTTTCTCGCCGGAGTCGATCCTTCAAAACTACAAATCAACCATTCGCCTTTTCATGGAGTGTTGCTGCCATATAAGGTCTGGATCAGCTTCTGTTTATCTCAAGGTCCTTAAAAAATTCAGAGACGGATATGCAATATAATTGGCTCTGATCTGGCATCTCGTCTGCAGTCGCTCTCTCACAGACGTGCCGTCGCCTCCCTCTGTTTTGTTATACAAATACTTTCACGGTAACTGCTCCGATGAGCTGCTTTTGCTGGTTCCCAGACTTCATGAATTTAAGCGTTCTACTAGGCTGGCATCTCGCTCACACACTTTCACTGTCGAAACTGTTAAATGTAGCTATCTCTTCTACTCCAATAGCTTCATGTCTCGCACCTCTTACCTGTGGAACTCCCTCCTCTTTTCCTGTTTCCCTGATAGCTATAATCTCCAACTATTCAAATGTAATGTCAATCGACGTCTCTAGATGCCTTGACCTATCCTCTAACCTTCTCGTCATTTCCAATATCACTCCTCATTTGCTCTCGCTGTAAGCCCTTGTGTTCTAGTGGCTTCCGGTCTTGCTTGAGGTCAAACCCTTATAAAAAAAAACAACAACATATTCATGTATAACAAAATAAATACTAATGACAACTATTGATATACTAAATCTCACATAATTCACTGTATGTCAAGGCGAATAGAGTTTCACATAGTTATCTAGATCGACGTTATATATATATATATATATATATATATATATATATAATGGACTCTCCCGTTAGTTTCGATGTATGAGTATCTGACAACTTAATTCAGTTATGATTTTTGTGCGATAATATTTAAATGTTACTTAAGGCCCGCTAGTGATTTACAAAGGAGGCCGCATATAGAGCCATAGTGAGGATTGTGAGATGAGATCACTGTTAAATTGGCTGACCTTTTAGATCTTGCTCTCGCTTCTTGAAGATGATTCAGACAAGCTGGTCTAAAAGTGCTGAGTCCACTAAATCACGTTGATCTACCTTCCACCCGCTGCAAGGCTAAGCGCTCGTGGGTTGTTATGAGGTATATTGACAGCTGACAACTTGCTTTTCAGCTTGTCTTTGTATCTTAGCCATGGGCGTCCTCCATTCCTGTAGCCCTGATCTAACTGGCTGTACATTAGGATCTTGGGTATCCTGTCATCAGACATTCTCAAGACATGACCACTCCACCGTAACTGAAACTATGAGAAAAGTCTCGATTCCCCCAATATTACACCTTTCAAGCAGGTATACACACACACAGACATATATATATATATATATATATATATATATATATATATATATATATAGGTAACCTGTAAGAAAAAGACAATATTTGTAAATGTAAAAAACAAAAAAACTGTAAATATTAGCCGACGCGTTTCGTCCGATGTGGACTTTTCAAGGCAAATGCGAAATGAATTTATTAAAACAAAGAAACTAATAATAATAATAATGATAACAAAACAAAATGTCCTTAGATAATGGAATAATTTAGAAAATGCTATTATAATCATATTGTCAACTGACAATTAAGTCAAGTACTGTCACGTGTGGAAATATTCTTTTTATTGTGGTGTTGACGGATTCAAATATTTTCTTTTGCTTTCTTGATACAATTGTTTAGGTCTGTTTGGCAGAGCAGTAATTCTGTTTGGAAAAGTGAAATATCCAAAGATTAATCTTCTCCCAGGTGTTTTTTTCCTATTTCACCTTCCCTAACAGAACCTAACTCTTTTCTCTTCCCACCCATTATCAATGTATCTGTTTCTAATTCTTTCACAGCCTGTAAACTGCACTATTTTTTATATTAGTTGCTTTATTGCCTTGCACAGTGTGATACTGATTTTAAAAAAATGTGTTCCAACAATCTGCCAAAATTGTGAATACAGCCATAACAATGTTAATTTTATTTTAAAAAAAATTCGTGTATAAGTGGCATTTTTAAAACCTTTTTCAAGATCTATGTTTTCAGTTTACTCCCAGCATCTCTCTGTAAAATCACATCGCTATTGATTTGTTTCTCTTCTTTTTTTTTTTTCCTGTAAGGTAATTTTCCGACAATTCCCTGATATATAGGAGAATAGAGATGACATAGCAGTTAAGTATTGCTTCCTTTGTTTCCAATGAAACTGTCTCATTTCTTTATACCTTAAATTTCTGGAAGGCGTATTCGGAGATTTCAATATGCCTCCGGGTTTCCTGGTCATATGTTGAATTCTATATTATTACACTACTTAGTTAAATGCCTCTTATTACGGTTTATGTCCTCGGTTGAAACACCTGTACGATTACCAAATTTAAGCAACGTCGACTTGGTCAGTACCTAAATGAATGACCGCTTAGGAATATCAAGTGTTGTGCCGGTGGTGTAATGGATAATGGCTCGGAGAGCCGAGTTCCTATTTCTTTTGAGTTCATTATATTCACTCGGGAAAATTACCATTGGACAAGTCATGAATCGACCTTTTCTTGTATCAGTTTGCATCATTACGACTTGTAACAATAAATCTTTATTCCACCACCACCCTACAAATTAAAAAAAATTCTCACAATCTAAAAATATTTTCTGGCTTTAAATAACCTGCAAAGGGTTGACAAACCGTAAAAAATTAATGAATCAGGAAATGTCTCTTCTTTCTTGATTTTGATGTCTCCAATTCTAATTGGGCTGTCTCATTTAACGACGATAATTTATTCTGACATTTTGCATTTATTCTTTTTTATGCTTCAGGAAAATAGGAGATTGAACATAGAATAGGCTGTGATAAGGATAGTTTCGCCCAACACTGCAAGTTGCTACAAAACGAAAACAGTACTCTAAAAACTTGAGTCATGATTGATCGAGACTTCCATACGCATGTCATTAATGGCACTAAAACCTTTCAGCAATATCAAAACTGTCAGTTGTATACAATAAATTCAGCAATGATTAAAGAAAAAATAGCTTCGACCGAGTGAAACGAGTAGGTCATAGTGAGGTCTATACTTCTGCAAACCGGATGGAATGATGCTACAGAATCACCCAGGCCTGTACCGGATGACACCACATCACAAGAGGACGATTAAAAAACAACAGCAGCAACCACAACGCTGAGCTATTTTGAGTCAAAGAGAAAATAATGAAATAATCTAGAGTTTGGCATTTTCTTAAAATTTCTGATAAAAAGGTTAAGAAGGAGAAAAACCGTCAATACTGGAAAGGGCGATAACAGCTACCGGACTTAGTTCCAGTTTGTAATAGGTTTCGAACAGACACACACACAACTCTTCAGCTTTATATATTAGATAGCAATGCTGCAATGAGAAGCAAAGTAATTTTCCTTTCGTTATCTCATGTACAGCCTGGATTGATTAATGATGTTTCTTTGTACATGTTGATTTCTTCTTCGCAATCAGTCGTCTTCGAATGTTTGTCGCGGGGACAGTTTGAAAAATTAGCCCCTCGTCGCTATCTCGCGTTTAAAATATCGATTCTGGTCTGACCACTAAATTTAAACTTTTGCGGTTGACTAGGGGTCATGTTATGCTATAGATAATTTAGCAGCGGAAAGAGAAAAAGAATTGGTCATTTTCTTTCCAATCACACACTAATTTGCTTCGATTAACAATTTATAACGAACAATGGTATCAAAATCTCCTTCTATCAATTTATATACATGCATATATATATATATATATATATATATATATATATATATATATATATATATATGTTTATAGTGTATAGGGGCGGCAGATCATTGTTCAAATAGATATTGTTAAATATAACAGACAACGAATGTCTATTATGTTTTATCAAGAGCCTTTCCAAGCGTCACATATATATATATATATATATATATAGAGAGAGAGAGAGAGAGAGATAGATAGATAGATAGATAGATATAGATAGATAGATTAGCTGCATACTTTGCAACGGAAGAAAAATGTAGCTACTGATCTATTTTATTCGGGGTAAACACTGCCTTACATTATATACCTAGTCCGCACGTCCCTGATCTGATCTCTCTCTCTCTCTCTCTCTCTCTCTACATATATATATATATATATATATATATATATATATATATATATATATATATATATATATATATATATATATATATATATAGAGAGAGAGAGAGGGACTGAGAAAAAGAGAGACAGAAAGAGGGAGATGATCACAACAGATATATATATATATATATATATATATATATAGATAGATAGATAGATAGATAGATAGAGATAGATAGATATGGTACACATTGGGCAACAGAAGGAAAATGTAGCTGCTGATTTATTTTATTCAGGGTAGACACTGCCTCACCTTGGCTACCTAGACTGCACGTCCCTGAATTATCAATCTCTCTCTCTCTCTCTCTCTCTCTCTCTATATATATATATATATATATATATATATATATATATATATATATATATATATAGAGAGAGAGAGACAGACAGACAGAAACAGAGACAGATAGACGGAGAGTGACGGATGATCACAATATATAAATAGATAGAATAGGTTTATATTGTGTCACAGAAGGAAGATGTAGCAGCTGATCTATTTTATTCAGGCTAGGTGTTGTCTACCTTGCCCTCCTAGCCTTCAAGTCCCGGACCTTTATGTAGCTGCAGTGGACATAATATTAACTCAGCCACAAATAATGCTGATTTTTTCCTTTGTATACCGAACTATTTCAAGCATGCCAAAGGCCGTAGCCATGAGGAAGAACCAGCGTCGTTTTGAAAGATGCGGCGACAAAGATTAACCAGAGCAATCAGGAATTTTATATCCTAGATCGTTAATAGTGAAAATCAGTGATGGTCGGGTCGCTGTCTCACTCAAGCATTCATGTGATTGGTCGTTTGGCTTCTTCACTATCTCCTAATTTTTTTTTTTTTTTTCATTTTTTTTATCTTGATTGGACTATATTGGTCAGCGCATGGATAAATATCACGATATCAGGAGACAGACTGACGCTTTCGCTACGCAAAAATTACTACACTTTTTCTCTCTCACTCTCTGTCTCTCATTACTTTATTACTTAACCAGATACAACATTAACGATTATTCGCTTATCGTTTCTGAATGGTTATTTGCTATTCTTATCGTTCTAGGATCTTTTCTCATTTATTTTGTTTCTTTTTTAATAAGCCTCTTTTCCTGTTGTTACCAGCCGGGAGTATTTTCAGCAAGGAAAACATCTCCAATATTTTTAATCACTGAATACCGCTAACAGAGAAGCCGTCGAGTACACGAGAGACTTATTCGTATTTCCCATAACAAATTCACTACTTATGTAAATATCTAATCTAACGCTAGCATGTTATTAAATTGGCTGGACTAAATTGTGCCGACCCTTCAGAGAGCAACCTCTATCGGTTCAGTCAATGAATAAAGCCAGCGAACAGAAATAGAGTTTGTCAAACCGCTGATCTAATTCGTCTTATATAGAATGCTTAAACATCCTGTTGAAGTATATTCACGTCCGTAGATGAATAACATTGTTGAAAAACAAAGGCTGAAACACTTTATCATTATCAGAGATGTTTCGACTTGACGGCACACTGTAAATCTGTGTGATTTCTCATCTTCAGTAAGGCTGCTACTTTTCAAGCATGCCCATCTTCTCAACCCCTATTTGTGATTCAACGCCCACAGAACCAACCTGTGGTTTATATTACATCTAGACCGAGTGAGACTTAGTTACAGTTCAAGTTGGGGCACATACAGTTTTGAATCGTCCTCCTATGCTGGCTGTCAACCACAGCCCGATAGATCAATCTGGTGGATCGAAATGTGCTGACTCATCAGAGAGCATCATCTATAGCAGGGGTCGGCCAACCACATCCGACCCGCGAAGGATTTTTGTCCGGCCCACCAACTTAACATCTCGACTTTAATTATTTTGTTCATTTGAGGCAAAAAAAAAAAAAAAATTCAGTTGGAATTAATCTACTTACAATGCGACGAATTTTTTAAATCAAAATTTCATTCCGAATCAACTTCCGACTATGTTTTGACTATTTGACTATGTTTTTTTTTTGTTTCTGAATGTTTTGTCAAGCGGAAAATCCTCTTGAATAATACGAAAATTATGGCATCTTTATTTGGAAATACATATGATTGTGAAAGGCTTTTTTTTTTTCGAAAATGAAATACACTAAATGTTAGTTAAGAACAAAGTTGGTCGATGACCATCTGGATAATGTTTTGCACCTGTCATTGACAAATATTTCACCTGATGTGAAGAAGTTATCAAACAATATGCAGGATCAAGCGCCTCATTAAATAATTTGCCATTTCTCACTGTATATCGTTTTTAATAAGGAATTTGCTTTTTTATTATTTGTGTTAGTTGTTATCCGATTATTCCTGCAGTAAAATAAGGAAATTTGTTTAAATAATATAATATGAACTTTCTTTAATATTTTTATACACAAGGATGTTCTAAAAGGGCCATTTGTCAGGGCTTATGTGTAAGACATATTTTTAATATTTCAATTTTTTATTAATTAAATTTTCTTATTATTTTATATATATATATATATATATATATATATATATATATATATATATCATTTTTATCATAGAGACAAAAACAGTTTACGTACTAAAAAGATGCAACTTCGTTTCGGTACATTTCAATCGCACCTCGACTGGTGAGAACCAAAATTGAAATGCACCGAAACGAAGTTGCATCTTGTAGTAAGTAAACTGGTTTGGTTTTTTGTCTCTATGATAAAATTAAATAAATAATTATCGTTCTACTATCGGTATCGAGCGCTCTTTTGAATTAATGCTGTGAACGTTTGAATTTATATATTACTTTCGTTCTCATTGAATCGTTTCGTCCTATATTTGGGACTCATCATCATATATATATATATATATATATATATATATATATATATATATATATATATATATATATATATATTCTAATTCCTTTTAATAAAACAGTATATATGTATGGAGAAGGAATATGCATACACATACTAGCAAGAAGACACAGACTACACAAAATGGAGATAGGCTCGAGAAAATACAGCAGACATGAAAAGATGACAACAAAACCTCCTATATATATATATATATATATATATATATATATATATATATATATATATATATATATATATATTAGAGAGAAGAGAGAAACCGCAAAATTTTCTGGTTGTAATGTGCACTTTTAAAAGATATATTATGCTTTATTTTCTATAATTTTCTACACGTTTGTCCAGGTCTCGCGACTTTCCCTGGGCAAAGAGTGGACTTTTATATATATTATTAAAAACAATTAATTTTTCTAATAAAATTAAAATTTTTCTGATCAAATTAAAATTTGTACACACAATGCACATACAATACATACAGATGCAACAAATCTAAAAATATCTGGAACAGCCATTCTAACAAGAACAAAGACACTTATTATATAGCCATCGAGAAACACGAACACCAATTTTACCAAAAATCTCTTACTGGATAGAAAACCCGAAATGTGCAGGGTGTGTTTATCTCTTAGAAAACCCAAAATAAGTTGAAAGAAACGATCATTATTTTTTAAAAGCCCCAGTCCGAACAGTTTAGATGACACAGAACCCAAATTAATAAACCTATCTACATATAAATTTGCAAAGGACGAAATTAACCGATTGAAATTAGACCTAAAATTCTGCCCTGCTCCGAAAAGCAATATAACAAATATAAAAAAAGACCTTAGAGAATTTGAACGCAAATTCAGACTAAAGGAAATATTTAATAATAACAAAAACATTACAGATGAATCATTAGTAAAAAAAAATCCATTTTATTCCCAAACAAAAATAATAATACCAATGAGCTAAATATATTTTTTGAAAACACTGGAATCTCGACCTACACGAAAAATCAAAACCATTCAACAATCTTACATAGAGACAAAGACTAGCCTTAGAGAGCATCCGAAGAAATAATAATATAATTATAAAAGAAGCAGATAAAGTCAGCGCTTGAGTGATCATGGACAAAACGTACTATCAAACAAAAATTCTAGAGACACTAGGGGATAGGAACAGCTACAAATTAATCGACACCAACATAGACAAAAAGATTATATGAAAAATTACAAAACTGCGCAACACATACCATATTAACAAAAAAAAAAAAAGAAAAGAAAAGGATTTCCTAAACAAATTTGTACCAAATACAAGCAATTTCTACGGACTACCAAAAATTCACAAATCGAGTGAAATAAAAGCAGCTATCCAGACACCAAAATCTGAATATATTAGCATACCAAACCTCAGTGACCTTACATTCAGACCCCTAGTAGCAGGGCCAGCCTGTCCAACTCAGTAACCTACTAGACACAATATTACAACCATTTACTAAGCAGATTAAAAGCTATATCAGAGACGATATTCAATTCCTTAGCTCCATACCTCAAAAAGTAGATCCGGGAACACTTATGGCAATTTTTGACATTAATAGCCTATATAACAATATACCCTACGAATTAGATAAACAGACAATCTCATTGTGGATTGAAACACAACCAGAAACATTACATTCCAGATTCACTAAGTAATTCATTATCGATAGTACACCTAATTAGACCTAATTTTAAACAATACCACTTTTGAATTTGACAACAAAAACTATATTCATACCGTAGGTAGCGCAATGGGAACAAAAATGGTACCAATATACGCCACCCTAACATTAGATTACCTAGAGGAAAACCTTTATGAAAAGATAGAACAGATATATGGCGAAAATATAAAAACCCACTTCACTAAATCTTGGAAACGGTACTTAGATGATTGCTTCATTTTCTGGAAATCCTTATGGGATGATATTAACCACTTCCACACTCTACTACAGAACTTACACCCAAAAATCAAATTTAAGAATTTTTAATTTTAACGAATTGTCATTTTTAGATATACTCATTAGAAACAACCACATAATCACAGATATCTACCAGCAACCAACCTACAGACACCCAACGATATCATCATTTCAAGAGCCCTCAGCCAAAAAGCTGCTTAAAATCCATCCCTAATTCTCTAGCACGTAGGGTTTGTACTATAGTGAGTGACAAACACCTCCGAACTCCACCTAGAAGGACTACATAAAACTCTAAAAAACTGCGTTTACCCTACAAAACTAATAAACAAATGTTTTGAACTCAGAAAAAATTCCTTTAGATCAACTACGAAATCCAAAGAAATGTAACGCCGAACAAACTCTAGCATATGTCTCAACATACAACAGGAAGAGTCCAGAACTATTTGCAGAAATTACAAAAACTCTAGACCTACATAGTGTGACGTCGTCCCCCGGTCGCAGCGCCAACTGTGACGTTCTATCCTGATATACCACGGCGCCAGTTGTGACGTGGCCGTTCCAGGGTCCTATCCCGGTCACGACACCAGTTGTGACGTCCCTAAACAGCACCAACCAGACGTCTTCGCCGCAGCGCCAGCTGTTCGCTCCTCGCTGCTCCGTCCGGGTGTCGCTGCTCCAAACGTGACGTCCACCTGTCGCGTCAGTCGTGTTGTCTCGTCCTGTGACGACCAACTGGCTTGGTATCGGTCGCGGCACCCAAATGTGACGTTCTAACCTTTTGGTGATTCGGGTGGGAATCTGGTTAGATTTGATATCAGCCTCGCCTTTCCCAACTCGCTTCCAACGCCTGGTTACCAAGGTAACTGCACTGATCTCCAGTCTGCCTACCCACGTTGTGAATTGATCTTAGACAGACGAGATCAAACAGTGGTTGGGGCCGTAATGCAAATTGACTTCAACGGGGGTGATAACACACAAATATGCATAAAAGAAAAGAAAATGAAAACTCAAAAAGTTCAAAGTATCAAAGAAAAAGGTAACAAACTTTTGTCTAGTTGTTCGATACATAGGACTGCATCTATCTCCCGACCCGTTCTGTGGATTGTGACACGTCGTTTTCGCTAGGCAAGTTTTAACGCTTCAAGTTGTTTGCTTTCTAAGAAATTTGTGTTTCGGTGTGTCTTTGGACGAAAGTCGAAAAACAACTTATTTCGGTGGTCTGGTCCTAAGTCGCTTTTCAAAATAATTGTTCTTGGTTGAAGAGGAGTCCAGAATTTTGCGTGAATCTTGGTCAGATATCTCGAGGCGTCATCAACTCTGGAAACTGGAGCTCGAACTCTCTGAACACTCATCTCTGCCGCCAGGGCCCGAACTTTCTGGACACTCATCTCTGCCACCAGGGCCCGAACTCTCTGGACACTCATCTCTGCTGCCAGGGCCCGAACTTTCTGGACACTCATCTCTGCCGCCAGGGCCCGAACTGATTTCTGCCTGTTGGGGCCTGGCTTTTATTGACGCCGACCAAAACCGGAGTGGGTCTGTATGCGTCGGGGGGTCCTCGTTAATTCTAAATACATATCCACCTCTTTTATTTCTGGTTAGGGATGTTTCACTCTTTTCCATTTTTGGTAACTTTTTTTCACTCCCACTTTCTCACCATACTTCTGAGGGGCGTGAACTGCCCTCCCCACTTCTTCGTAGCAGCTTCTCATACTTACACTCTGGATGGGGGCGTCGACAGCCTTCTTCGTGCGTCACGTGATCACTCTCGGCCAATGAGGTCTTGGTCGGGTATCTTTCCTCCTCCTTCGTGCGTCACGTGATCACCACTTGACCAATGATGTCTTAGTCGGGCGTGAACAATCCGCGACTTTGTTTCGGAAAAAAAATACCTTGCTTAACTAAAAGAAAAATTAATTATCTCTTCTCTTTCCTTTTTCTTCCTTTCAAATCGCCGTTATCATTTCTCTAGTCACGAACGGATAATATAACAACTCTTTGTTCAACACGTGGCGTTTGTCAGGTAGTTTATCGCTAATTCATCAAGATGGTTGGTTTTCCTACATGGCCTCAGAAAAAAATTATCCCCAAAAATTTTAGTCAATCTGTCGTCTCCAAGGAAGAAAGAAAAACATTTCTGGTTCCCATTTATTTTCCTTCGGTACATGTGTCTGATAACATAATTTTATTATCGCAGAGCAAAGTAGTTTTGTTGAAAGGAATTCGGTCAGCGCTCTGCTTGTGTGGGATTTAATTTTTCATATCTGTCCAAAGTCCTTTTTAGTGGCCTGTTTCTCATTACTTATCGAAATAGCATTTTCACTTGAATTTTTCCTGGGCCAGTGGTCTAGCCATTCGTTTACGTACCTAGATAACATAGACGTTATCAAAACACATCTGGTTCCTTCTATCTTTTCCTTTTCTTTTTTTCTCAGAAATCCCCTGTCATTGTAATGACACATTTTTTCACTTGATACTTATCAATATTTTCATTGTCTCTTAGGCCATGTGTGTGGCTGATTTATCACCTATGATTCGTCTCGCAATTTCTTTCTCTTTCTTTCTCTGCCTCGTAAATGGTGCCACAATAGCAAGAATGACAAACTGAAAAAATACTAAAAACAAGCAATATAATTAAAAGCAACAGCAATTTAAAAACCTGAAACACATATTAACCTCATCTAAATTTAAACAACACACACAATACAGGGAGTCACAAAATACAACAAAAAAGATGTGGGGTTTGTGACATCATTATAGGAGGAAACACCGACACTTTTGAAAACCACAAAACGACATTCTTAATAAACAAACATTTAAACTGTATCTTCAAAATTGTGATTTATGCTTTCAGATGCAAAAAATGCAAGAAGTCAGATATAGGAGCACTAAACAACCGAGTTTCCCTTCACAAAAGCAACATCAAATTACCAGACAACAGAAAACTCTTTGCATCATAACAAATCTATAAAAGTAACCAGTGTGAATTCAAAATTATGCCAATATATCAAACAGACAATTATTCTTAACTACAAATACAAGAAAAAAACTTCCTAAACAAATTTAAACCAACACTAAATAGGTCATAACCCCACACGCAAAACACACCACATACAAACATAACGGCCAAATACAGTGATCAAAATACTTGCATGCATGGCGACACACTCACACGCGGGTATCTGTGAAGAACGAATATGCATGCACATATTGGTAAAAAAACAATAGCCTACTCACAGGCATGCGCGCAAACACTACACGACATAGGAAGTGTATATATATATATATATATATATATATATATATATATATATATATATATATATATATATATATATATATATATATATATATAAAACGGATATAAGAGACCCGGATATAAGAGAAACCCGGATATAGAGATTTTTTCTGGTCCCAAATTAGAGCCTATGTTAATGTATATAAAATAGACCAAACCCGGATATAAGAGACTTTTCTCCGGTCCCGACAACTCTCTTATATCCGGCTTACACTGTATATATATATATATATATATATATATATATATGTGTGTGTGTGTGTGTGCATGTGTGTGTGTCTATGTATGCATGTGTGTGTATGTGTGTATACTAATTCCGTACAATAAGACAGTAGGTGTGTATGGAGAGAGAAGACCCGTATACATACGCATACTAATACATATATAAATATGACAATACCTAGTTACCTCCGCTTAATCGGTGCTGATTAGATACAAAGTTTGTCATCCACAACCAAGAACGCTAGAATACTTATCCTATAATTAACAATACCCTGATGATGACTTTATGCTATGTCGAAAGTACTCGGAAATAAATATAATATGAACCAACACAGCGTTTTCCTCTTTTTTTTCCAATGACCACACAAAAAAGCTCATTCGTGAATATGAAAGAATTTTATCGAGAATAATTAGACAGAACATGCCAAAATTATTTAACGAAACCTGTCTTAATGAAAATATGCTGCTGAAATTCACACACACACACACACACACACACACACACACACACACACACACACATATATATATATATATATATATATATAATAAATCAGTAAAGTTAATGTAATTAATGACAAAATCTCTTCGCTAACCAATTTAATAGAGCATTAACTTACTAATCATTCGTTGAATGACGCGATCCTTATGTTTAAAATTTTAAGATGGATTTGATGATCATTTATTGTCTGTGAAACATTCCGCCTCACCTGCTATCCTCTTCCGCCGCATCTTTTGAGAACCACTGAGCGAGAGAAATAATAAAAACGTTTCACAATGTTAACACTCAGCGAAGGACAACTCGAGTCTCTAGACAAGTTGACAGGTATATGTGTTTTTTCACCGACTAAAATAATAATATAATAATGAAATTGAAACCTACAAAATTTTATGCAGTAGACATGGGACAGTTTTAATAACACTGCCTGGAAATTTACACAGTTCAAAACTAATATTTTAATAGAAAAATAACTGAAAAATAAAACAAGATATTTTTCCCTACTTATTTATTTAAATCAGAAAACTTCAATTTTGATTAACAAAGATAAAATCAATAGAAATAAATAAATGAATAAAAGTAAAAGAATGATCGATTATAGAAATCGATTTTCGGAAAAAAATGATCGTTTTGCAGTCAGAAAATGGCATGAAATCGAGACCCGTCAACTGATAACTTAAAGTGTATTATCTCTGATTGGTCTTCTCATGCAGATCGAATGGCTTTAACCCACCACAGTTAACAGCAAAAACAAAAAGATTGCACGAGCGAAACAATGATTAAAAGAGAAAAAATACAATGGTCAACAAAGTTGAAATAAAAGCCGCTAATCATAGCAGAAAGTACATCGACTTAAAATATTAATAGCAACCATTTCATCTTGCTGAAAGATTCAGTATTCATGAACTGTACAGTCAGTGCTTCTTGAGTTAAACTTTCCTTATTTTCTGGACGTCGGGTAAGACAATGACTCCTAACATGGGGCGCATGCCCCACCGATGGAGCCTGGTAATATTTTACTGGGACGCGCGTAGGATGTGCACCCTCCGCTTACTATACCATCGTGAGATCAAATTTCATTTTGCATTATTATTTCATGATTAAAATGATCAAAGTATATTACAGAATAAACTTTCATTCAAATATTTTATATTTCTTTCTTTTCAGTTCTCTATTATATATTTTGAAACTTCATAATTAACTGTCTTTTTGTTTTGTTTTGTTTTTATTTTTCTCTTTCATGGACGTCTTTGGAGGCTTCTTTAGAGACCTAGTTAATGGCCTTTTAAGCTTACTTCACGTGAATTACAGTAACATTTTGAATATGTAAGAATTAAATATTACAGGTGTGGGAGCACTAAATTTTTTAGAAATACCAAAATAGGGAACCATTGAAATAGGATAAACATCTCGTATATGTTCTTCACATCTCTTATGATAATTGCAATATTATCCATTTCCTTATAAGGAAACATTCTGCACACACACACACACATATATATAGATGTAAAAGAACGAAATGAATAAAAATCAAACGTTCATAACATTAATTTATGAAAGGACTCAATACAAGAGTAGAGCAATAAATATTTATTATAAACTGTTGCATTAGAACATGCAACTTCTAGTGTAACAATTTATAGTTCTTTTTTCAAAATTTGTTAAAATTAATCAATTAAAAGCTTAAAATTTTCACTTGTTTGTTGATAAACTACATTTTCTAATTAAATGTAAATGTTTCGTAATTATATTTTGATTAAAGTAATAATATTATATATTTTTAAAACTTTTTTGTATCTGGCAGGGGTGTATACATATATATATATATATATATATATATATATATATATATATATATATATATATATATATATATATATATATATATAAGCAATAAATGGATATAAATGACAGAATGAAGAAAAATTTTGAAAAAAAACAAACAAAATCCTTAAATGTTTGTTTTAAAATGAATGAATTTAAACAACATTAAATGTTGTTTAAAATGAATGAATTTTAAACAACATTTAAGGATTTTGTTTTTTTTTTCAAATTTTTTTCATATATATATATATATATATATATATATATATATATATATATATATATATATAGTGCGTGTATGTTTTTTCGATATTGGTTTAACCATCCGCACATTCATTACCTGGCAAATAATGCATAGTTTCGCTTTGGACATTTAAACCCCTACACATTTCTTTCTTCTTGCCTGAAGACAAAGGTTACTTAACTTCTTCCCTATCATCAAATACGAGGAAGAGAGAAAAAAAAAACACTGAAAAGTTATGCCGAAAAAACATCACGTAAACGGATTGATTTTCTGCATTTTGTTTAGCTGTGTTAACGTAATTCTAGGAGCAGGCACTGTTTAAATAAATGTGCAAACATCCTTTTAAATGTCGAAATAAATAACGAAATAGCCA